TGTTCCAACCACAGCACCTTTCTCTCTGTAGGAGTTCTGTAATAAGAGCATGTTGGAGCGTGCAACGCGACAAACCTGGGTAGCGATCATTTAATTTTTTTTGCTAGAGCGGAAATGTGAAAAGTGAACATTTTTATATTCATATCCACATACAAAGAATTTTCTCATTTCCGCCCTAGGGAAAAAGTTACATGATCGCTACCCTGATTACAACTTATACAATGTTACCAATTCGTAGAAAATGAAATTGTGATGCTTAGGGATTTTTGTTGCAACCAACATTATCCCCTCTTTTTTTATGTAAATTGTCATATAACCCTCCCGACAGCCAATCGGTGCACAAAAATTTTCATATCGTTGTGACTCGTTTCGTAGTTCGTAGTTTGCTTCCCTGTTATTTGGCTACGACGGTTGACTGATACGGTGCTGTTGTTGCGAGGTTAAAACATGCGAGTTCTGGAAATACGTAGATCACCTTTATGAGAACAAGTTGTAGGCGACAATTAGGATGTTTCGATCGACAAGGAGTTTGATCATCGCGCTGCAACGTGCGAAGGATTGCCGTTTGCATACGTGCGGTCAACGATTATCAGAGGTTGCCGAATATGAATGTGAGTAATGGTGACGAGAGGTTTGTGATTTTTTTAATAATAATCGCTTTTTAAATGTAGCTCCTATCACGGACGATTATAAAAAGGGTCCGATGGAGGGTAGAGCCCTTTACTTGGATGCTCAAGCCACTACTCCATTGGTAAGTTCGAGACATGATGTCATATGATGCAATCTATAGATTTGTTATTATTGATTTTTTTTATTTTTGCATTGGACTGCACTTGAATTTTTCTTCTCATTTTCGTCAAATTTCAAATATATACTTATTTCACTATAAATACAAAAAGTACACTAGTTTACTTATAAAAAACAAATCTCACGTACATATGCAAATAACGTATGAAATAATAAATTACTAGGATCCCCGAGTATTAGATAAGATGATGCCGTATCTGACAGTGTACCATGGTAATCCCCATTCCAGAACTCACATGTACGGTTGGGAGTCAGAAGCAGCAGTTGAGCATGCTCGTCAGGTTGATATTTTAAATTTACAAATTCTTCTATATTATATAGCTGTTAAATCTGAAAGATTACTTGTCTTTTTTTAATAGCAAGTTGCAGATCTAATAGGAGCAGGCAAGAAGGAAGTGATATTTACATCTGGGGCAACAGAATGCAATAATATTGCTGTAAAAGGTATAGCGAGGTTCTACAAATCCAAGAAAACTCATATTGTGACAACCCAGACAGTGAGAAATTTTTATAATAATTTTTATAATTTTAATTTTTTTTCTTAAGTGAATCTATAATTAGTTGCTTTTATCTAGGAACACAAGTGCGTACTGGATTCATGTAGAGCCCTGGAAGCTGAAGGATTTGATGTAACATACATTTCTGTAAAATCAAATGGTCTTATTGACCTCAATGAACTGGAAGCAGCCATTAGGCCATCCACATCACTAGTTTCTGTAATGATGGTAAATAACGAGATTGGTGTTAAACAGCCTATTGAAGAAATTGGTGCCATTTGTAGGTGAGTATCAAGATTTTAATACTATACTTCTATTTTCTGTATATACAGATATATATATATATATATATATATATAGTTATTTTTAAATTCTATTTACTTTTTACTTATTACTTGTGCAGGAAGAAAAAGGTCTTTTTCCACACAGATGCTGCGCAAGCCGTAGGCAAAGTGCCAATTGATGTTAACGCTATGAATATTGATCTGATGTCTATCAGTGGTCATAAGTTGTATGGTCCAAAAGGTAATTTTGTATAAATTATAATTTACTATTACGCAAAAAATAATATCTTTATTTCTTTTGTATATATTGATTTAAATAGTAGACATAATAAATAATTATAAAAAAATCAACATGTTTTTAGAAGTTGTACATTAGAAATGATATAATCTTTTGTCTTATACAATTTTCAATAAGTTATAAAAATTATTCTATATTCATAAAAAAGCTCACTGCATCTACATTCTTTATTTATCTATTTTGCATTTAGGTATTGGAGCCCTGTACGTTAGAAGAAGGCCGCGAGTGCGCGTAGAACCATTGCAAAGCGGTGGCGGACAAGAAAGAGGGATGAGAAGCGGTACTGTACCAGCACCCTTGGCTGTAGGGTTGGGTGCTGCTTGTGAGTTAGCGCAGACAGAAATGGATGTAAGTGAAACAAAAGTTCCACATATAATTAATTAATGCATTTGAAATATTAAAATCTACACTGTATATTTTTTCCAGTACGATCACAGATATATCAACACGCTGTCGAATCATCTGATTAAAAAGATAATGTCAAATTTGCGGCAAGTCGTGCGAAACGGAGATCCCATAGCCTGGTATCCTGGCTGCGTGAATCTGTCGTTCGCGTGCGTAGAGGGTGAATCGTTATTGATGGCTTTGAAGGATGTGGCATTGAGCAGCGGTTCGGCTTGTACCAGCGCGAGCTTGGAACCCAGCTACGTGCTCAGAGCAATCGGTGCCTCAGAAGATTTGGCACATTCCAGTATCAGGTATATATTTTGAGATAAAGGAACTTTGCTCATCATTAGTCCACGATTATATTCCAATATACACTACACCAGTATTAAAAATCTGTAATATATGTAACGTAGGTTTTCAATATTAGCAGTATATTAGAATACAGCCATTATGAAGCCTTGGAAATATCATTCGAATGCTTCCGTGTATCATTTTATACCTGCTTTCACCGAATTCAGTAAGCTATTCGAGTGATATTTCCAAACGTGCCTTAGTAATTTTATATTTTATCGATGTAACTTGCAACTTGTTTAATTAGGTTCGGCATCGGACGATTTACAACATTCGAGGAAATCGATTACACGGCGGACAATACGATACAACATGTAAAGCGACTTCGGGAGATGAGGTAATATGTTCAGCAATTATCATACAAACGTTTATTTCGAGAGTATGAGACGTGATGACGGAACTATGTTAGATTTACGTACACGTTATACTTTGGCGTTATATCTTTACAATTTGAAACGGTTGAAATCTCGTTTCGCGGAGGGAACGACTTTATCGTTGGACGTTTCATGAGATCGTGATTATCTCTATTTTTCTCTATCGTCTGATATGCATCTATTAGCCATGACATTACGTGAAAACGTACCAAAATTTTAATATTTTTATTTTTTGTAGCCCACTATGGGAGATGGTGGAAGATGGTATCGACTTGAAGACTATCAAATGGTCTCAGCACTAGTGCCTGGTTATCGTGCAACCTTTACAAACTTAAATAGATATAGTATGTATATTTATCAAGTGTATAATATAATACCGATCGTGTAAATCATATTAATAGATCAAGCCTAGTTGATTAAGATAATTTCGCAACGTGTAATAAATTTTCAAGAAAGTTGTTTTGCCGTCGCGTTATCCTAGACCTGATCCAATCGTGGCGCACAACTTGTGTATATGTTACGTATATCACGTTTATGGATTTTCCCTTCCTCTGCGAGACGCAACTTTCCCTCATAGGAAAGTCACGTGTGATAAATGCTCGATATAAAAGATTTCATTCAGTTTTTCCTTAAACTTTAGAGATTCTCAGAAAGTATATGTCGTGTCAGCGAATGTCAATTACAGATTAGCACAAACATGATGGATCGGTTGCTTCGTCAACATATGAAATCTTAAATCGATCCTTATCCATCTCGTGAAGTTCCATTCGCGATCGATTCGCCTCGACCAGATGTTGTGCTATATCCTCAAACATCTCGTTTACGCCTTCGCCAGTTTTGCACGACGTTTTGTATATCCCCGAAATCAAATTATGACATTGTTCGCTAAAAGATTTAATTTTTTTTTTAATTTATTATCATACATAAAAGAAGCGTACTCTCTAAATATTTTAGAGTAGAATCTCATTCTAACAAGTAAACATTTATAGCCAGTCTTAAAAAAAGAGTAGCACAATTTTCAATTCTTAAGAGTGAGATTTTATTCTTCAAAGTAAGATTCACTCTAAAAGTTTTAAAGAATACACATTAGGAAAATATTAAAAATTATGAGTACCAGAATTGTTCCATCTCTGCGTCTGTAACTTGTGGCGCGACGCTTTCCAAATCGCTTTTGTTTCCACAAAGGAATATCTTTGCGTTCTCTGCATATGTAACTATGTCGAGCAAATGTTGAGACAACAAATGAAACGATGTCGAGTTATCCAGGGCAAACACCAGAATGGCAGCCTCTGCAAACTTGTAGTAACTAGAGGTAACGGATGCCACTCTTTCCATACCGCCGGTGTCCCATAATTGCAGCTGAGAAGAACAAAAGACGCAAAGTCAAAAATATGTCAATCTTATAAATTTCATAAGGACAATGTCATGTTTATTTTCAATAAATAGATTCGATAATTCTCTGCAGATTATTTAAATTTCTCAACTATAATGTTTCTTGATACACCGTGTGAGTTAATTAAATGAAGCAATTTATAACTTATTAGTCACATTTAATGTGTATCAGTATATATAATAAGAGTTCAACTCGCAACGTTTAAAAAGCAATCACTCCAATATTTACGTACGCTTACTGATTTCAGTCTGACAGTTCATTGCACGCAGTTTGGATTCAGCAGGAAATAGGCCAGTAATACGAAACCAAGTTCTATGGAATATCCCATGGCGCAACTTGCATGCAACTTGACGATCAATAAAGGGAAAACGAAGAAAATAAGGCAGAATTTTCCAAAGTGATTGCGTATATTTCCCGTTACGTGAAAAGATGCAATCGACATGTAACATAAAGTTGATACTTACACGTATCCGTCTGTCCTCGACGACGTATTCCTTGTCGATGTTGTCAAGGCCCAGGGTCGACTTGCGGTCGTTGCTAGCGACGAACGTGTTGTTGGCGAAGCGCCGGAATATAGACGTCTTTCCGACGCCGTACTCGCCGCACAGTATAACCTTCTGCTCCGTCACCTTGACGGTCGCCATGTCGTGGCGCAGCGCCGGCTGAGATCACTGCTGGCGGGTCATCGTGCACGCGCACGTCTCTCATTCAATGAGGTCGATGTAAACGACGTGAACTCATCCTACTCACCACGAGAGTTTCTAAACGCTACGAACCGCTCCAGTTCCAGATGACCCGCTTCCATTCAGCCTCCACCTCTATCAACGATTAATTAGATTCGCCTTCTATAGGGTGTATAAAGAAAAGCAAAGAAATAGACAACATGGGCGCATTAGATTGATTTTACCTCATTGGACTAAGCCATTCTTTTTTCTTTTTTTTTTTTTTGTCATTTATTAATTATGAAAATTAATTTTGCGTTTTTAAAAAAATGGAAGTTATTATTTTAATTATTGTATGAAATAGAAAATATTGATTTTGAGCAGACATTTTTATTTTGATTTAAAATTTCCCTGATATATTTATGCAATTTAGGAAAGGATGAAAAATTTGTTAGATTTAATATAAATTTATATATATATTATCTTTTTCGAAGTAAACAGAGAGAGAGAGAGAGAGAGAGAGAGAGAGAGAG